TCTGCGAGAGCTACCCTATGAGACGGGGAAGGCGTCGCAATGAACAAGTTCTTGTCCACCACAGTCGACAGCCTCGGCGTCGGCGTCGGCTGCGCAACTGCACCCAAACTCAGTCAGCACTCCGTCTCGTAGTGAAAACCAAAGCGGCGTATACGTACGACGTTCCAGCTCGAACTCAAGCTTCGTAATCGGCGTGATAGGCCGCACGAGCTCGCTATGCGACTTGGACTTCTCCCTGCGCTTCGACGGGGACATGTCGATCTCCAAGCTCGGCGCCTTGCGCTTCGTCTCCGGCGAGCGCGTCACTACCGTCGCCCGCCGCTTCCTCGACGGCGTCTCGGGCACGGGAGGCGAGCTCGTCTCCCCTGCCGCGGCGTACGACCGCTGGAGGTCGTGCGACGTGCGACTCGGGAGCTCCGAGGGGATCGTCGGCAGGCTGTGCTCCGCGAAGTTCATCGTGTTCAGGAAGGACGGGCTCGGGAGCGGGGAGGCGGACATGGATGTGCTGCGGTCGTACACGCCGCTCTCGTATCCGTCGATGAATATCTGGTTCGCGGCGAGGATTTTGCGAGGGACGCGGTTCGAGCGTGTGGAGCGGTTGATGTACGATGACCGTCGAGAGACGGGGGCAACAGGGAGGGGCGGAAGAGGTGCCGAGCTTGTCGAAGCGGCAAAGTTCTGGCGGGCCTCGTCTACGACTCCTGTGCAGTTTGGATGCAGTTAACACCTCAAAATGCATCCAGCACAGACGCGAAACACTCACTCTCAACGTTCTGAATCCAAATGGTCATCCGGTCTAGTCTATTGTCCACCGCCATCTGCTCGTTCCGCACTGCATGGCGCACGGTAGGCAAAGACGATTTAGCTACCCGACCACGCCCTCGATCAGCCGCCGTCTGACATGCCCACTCCATAGAGACAAGAGGCGAGACACGGCGCGCGGCGGGGACAAAACGCTCACCTTTCGACACGAGCACATCGTCCTCCCACGATTCGCGCGCGCTGAGGCTCATCCTTGATTCGTCTTCGTCTGCGTTGTCCGAGCCGAGGGTGAGCGCGGGCGTCGAGCGGCCGAGGAGCTGCGTCGAGGACTTGTACAGGCGCACGGCGCCACCTGCGAAGCCCGCGGCGTCAGTGGGATACAATAAGGGGTGGGGCAGACAATTGGCGTACCCAGCGACATCCGGAAACTCTGCTTCAACACACTGATTCCAGACTCGTTCGCCGCCGAATCGGGCAGCACGTCCGTCGGAGACTCGACAAGCTGAGAAGGCTCTGCGGGCGCGGAGACAAGCCGTCAACAAAGCATGATAGACATGCGAGTATGCTTGTATGCGTACCTTCGAACAGCGGGCTGAGCGGCGTCGTAGGCAGCGCGCTCCCTGTAGGGGATAACGGTGGGCCCACGCTAATCCTTGGGAGGTAGTACTCGCGCTCGCCCACGTCTCGCCTCGCACGCTCCCGTTCACGCTCCTGCTCGCGCTCCCTCTCATATTCCCTTTCGCGCTCCAAGCTCTCCGCTCTCGCGCGCTCCCACTCCTGCTCCTGCTCCCTCTCTGCACGTTCCCTCTCCTCGCGCTCACGTTCACGCTCCTCCTCGACCTCGCGTACGCGCTCCTTCAGGCGCTCCATCTCCTTGAGCCGCTCGCGCTCGCGTTCCCACTCCTTCATACGGATGCGCACCGAGTCCTTGCTCGTGTCCGCCGCTTTGCTCTCGCGGCTCGTATCCGCCTTGTCCGTCTTCACCTCGCGCGCGCTGCGCTCGCTCTTTAGCCCGCGCCTCGCGATCGATCCGGTGCTGGCGGCGGGCGAGACGTTCTCCCGTGCGCCGGTGACGTCGCGCAGGATCTGGCTGCGCCGGCGATCCTTTGTATCCTTGCCATTGCTGCTACTATGCTCCTTCTCGCGGCGGGTGTTCTCCTTTGAGGCTTGTGCCCGAAGAGCCATCGTTTCCTGCACGTTCGCGGGCGAAGTTGGAGGTGTGGGAGAGCGTGGGCCGAGAGGCTTGCGCGTCACCCGCGCCGTCTTTGATGCGCCCTGCGCAGGATTCTCTTTGACGGCAGCAGACGAGCTGGAGGCTAGACTGGGGGGAGGGGAGTGCTTGATGGGCGAGAAGGCTGAGAATACAGTAGGAACGGCGTTCTGTCGCTTTGCCTGGTTTACACCGCGAGCAGACGGAACTGTACACATAACGTAGTCAGATTCTGGCTGAAGGATGCAAGGAGGCGGGGTGTAACATACGTTCGAAGACCTGGAGCTTGGGTTGCGATTGCGAACGCGCGTGACCTGATCGTACAGGGCCCGCCTCTGCCTCCTTCTTGGCGGGAGCGCGTGCGTTCTCCTTGCCAGTGGCGGCTGCGGATTTGGCCTTGTCCTTTTCCTTATCTGCCTTATTGCGCTCGTCCTTCTTCTCCTTCTCTTTGCCTTTGTCCTTGTTAGCGCGGGATCCCCATGGCGGGATCACGTCCAGCAACTTCGAGACATCCTTGTCAAGCACAAGTGACGACGCGCGGGAGTGCGTCACGCTCGCCGATTTCCCTGCGCATACGCCTATCAGCTTTACTCAAAAATCTAATCCAAGTCGGCACTCACGATGCGCCAGCGCAGGCTCCGGGCCCGCCGTCCAGTACGGATCGAGCATCGCCTCGCTCGCGTTGCACCTCAGATCCGCATTGGGGAGGATCATGCGCCTTAGGACCTTCTCGACGCCGCGCGACATCTTCCACGCGCCGACCCACTTGCCGCGGAGCGTGCGCGCCCAGTACTTCTCGAGGTCGTCCTTGGTCGCGAACGTCTCGCCCTCAGCGTGCTCGAACGGCGTGCGGCCGACGAGGATCTCAAAGAACGTCACGCCGAGCGACCACACGTCCGACTTGCGCGTGTCGTGCGGGAGCCCGCGGGCGCGCTCCGGGGAGAGGTACTGGGCGTGATAAGAGCGGTCAGCGGACGACGGGGCGACGGCGGGGAAGTGGGAAAACAGCCCACCTCGGGCGTCCCGTAGGACAGGTTGCTATGGAATGCCTCGGACGACTCGGTGTCATACCGCTCGGCGAAGCCAAAGTCGACCAAGACTGGAACGTTCTCGCTCGAGAGGAGGATGTTGGCGGGTCTGTCGCGGTCAGCATCACGCTTGGAAGCGCGTCACACGAGCTGGGCTGGACCTACTTGATGTCGTTGTGCACGACGCCGTGCTTGTGAAGGAACTCGACCCCGGAAAGAAGGGAGCGGAACCATTCCTTTGCAATAGGCTCCGAAACTTCAACGGTGATGAGACGCGGGTGATATGCCCTGAGTGACACAGAGCACACAAGTTAGACGTGGCTGCGGCAGGGAGAATACAACGGATAGCACACGGAAAAAAGCTTACATAGTGATGAGGGCGTACGAGGGCGTAATAATGAAGGAGTAGAAGGGGATAATAGAGGGATGCGGTTCGTGTTTCAACGAACGGACGACTTTCATCTCGTTCCATCTGGGAAGGGTTTCGTCGGTGAGCCCAGTATAAAACGACAAGTTACGATGGATGCGCACAGTGACCTGACCCGTGCAGCTGTCGTGGACGTCTTTGACCTATGTACTAGCTTCACGGCGATCTTTGCCCCTTGGAGGTGTTCTCCAGGCGAGGAGGACTTTGGACGGCATAGCCAAACGCTGCCCCAGTTGCCAAAGCCGATCTACGGGAGAAGAACGCGTTTAGCTGGGATGCACACCGCATATACCCCGACGGAGAGCGCAAGAGCGGAACTAACTTCCTCAATGAACTGGAGCCTGTCGGCTAGGACCTGGTCAGAGATGGAGAAGATGTCTGTCGCCTCTGAGGGCGGTTGTGGCGGGGGGATCATGGGGACAGGACGGGCAGGGGCTAGTGGTACAGGATGGAGAATGGAGAAGAGACAGAGGAGCTCGTCCTGTCCTGGGGAAAGGGGGCGGGGGTCGAAGGTCAGAGCACGGAGAGCATCACGGTTCAAGAGCTCGCTTAGCGGGCGAGTCCAACATGCCCGTGAGAAGCGAAGCCTCTCGCCTACCACGAGGCGCCCGTCGCGTCGCGTCGACGCGTCCGCCAGGAACCCCCAACCGTGCACGCCACCGCGTCCCCGCCTGCCTTTTCCAGCGCTTCGCCCAAACTGGGTCTTGTTCAGGTTCTCCGCGTTGCACCTTTGCAACGTTGCGCCGCATGCGCGAGAGCAGGCTCTTGCCACGGTGGTCGACCTCGTACGCCGGGCAGACGTGGCAGGGATTTACAGGCGCAGTTCCCCGACGCGCGGGACGCTGGATATGATTGACAGACGTCGCGACACTGTATTCGGATCGGTCGCTGGCGTCCCGGACCCGAGCTCCACTAGTTTCGAGCGGGGAAACCCTCGGACGTACCTAGACCAGGTATGCACCGACCCTTCCTTGTCCATATGCCGTCCACTCATTCTCCTCGAGACTCGTATGCGCAGGTCTGGCGTCCTATGGTGGCGCTGCGTCAAGCATGCCGCTTCCGTGGTGTCTTATAATGCCTCCTCAACTCATCCGGAATGTTCAATCATACAACCGGCCACCACCGCAGTGCACGTCAATCATGCGTTACTTTGCCAGAAGCCGAAACTGTGGTGGCCCCTCGCGCTTCCCAGCTGTGACTTCTGGTATCGGTCTAGACGCGTCGACACCTACCACTGCACGGCTCCGAGGTCGGCGGGCGGCGCATCCATGTCAGTGCGCCCGTTAATCGTTGCTGCTGTTCTCCACGCGGTAGGGGAATGACCTATATCCCGGCTGGGTTTGTTGAATATTAAGCTTGTACCGTCGAGCACAATGCTTCAGCCTACTGGGCATGTTATGCCCTAAGGCCTTCTTCGCCCGCGGCTCCGCCCCTCCTGGTGCGCTACTCTCGACCACACGTCTTTGCTCATGTTACATCGAAAGAACGGTGTCATCAGCTGTCATTCATTTCTTACGTGCTGGGCCAATACACTCCGCGAGTTCCTGGACAAGTTCATCCAAGCAAAACGATTAGCCCACCGCGGGGGTCGAACCCGCAGCCTTGAGATTCCTCAGCCCGACATTTGCCTAGACCGTAAAAGTCTCACGCTCTATCCGATTGAGCTAGGCGGGCCTTATATTTATGATTTGCGCACACAGCTATGTTCTCATCTCACCACTCATCAGAGCCATTGCGCAAAATGAACCATAACGTCATCGAATGGCGGAGATGCCGGCGAAACCGATCCCGTCCGACGCGCCCAGCACCGGGCAAACCGCCTCTCCCCGCAAAACTCCCTCGGCACTCTCCCAGGTTCCTTCTCCCCCACCCGCCCGCACTCAACGGCCTTGTAACCCCCCTCGAGCCCCACACCGTCTTCTTCACTGCTTGACGATGGCCTCCCGTGTGTTCTCCCGCCGCGTCGTCGCCCAGGCCCTCCGCGCACCGCGCGCAGCCGTCCGCCCCGCCGGCAGGCGGTTTGCCAGCACCAGCGTCGAGCACGGTGCGAAGCAGAGCAGCGACCTTCCCTGGATCGTACGTCCGCGCGCGAAACCTTGTCCACAGTTGTATTGAGTAACTCGTGCGCGTGCGCAGATTGGTTCTGCTCTCGTCTTTGTGCCCTTGGTGCGTGCCGGTTCGTGATGACGTCGCACGCGACCTTTCTGACCCTAAACCCGTTCGATTGTCGTACGCAGGGTGGATACCTCCTGACGTCTGGCGGAAAGGACAAGGGCAAGCACTCTGCCGATGCGCACCACGCAAAGGCCGCCGCGGCGCACGCACCCAGCGAGGAGCAGCTGCCCAAGTCTGAGAGCGCGCCTGCACCGGTTGAGGTATGCCCACCCCATCGTGCCAACTAGAAATCCGCCGTACCTAAGAACCACTTCTCCCCAGGAGCCCAAGCCCGAGGACGACAAGCCCGCTGAGGATGCAGTGCGTAAATCTCTCTGGAGTCCAGGCCCTCGCTCTGACAGGCGCGTTCTCACCGTAGCCCGCGGACGGCAAGCTTCACGGCGAGACCGCCCTGACCGACTCCGAGGGCACGACCGTCCCCGCAGAAGAGGTCGACGCCTCTGTAAAACAGGCCTCCGTACGTGCCCATTCCTCCTAGCTCCATCGCGCGCCGTGTAAGCTGACCCCAGCATACGTGACGTGCGCAGAACGCCGATGTGCCTGAGGATGCCCAGCGTGCCGAGGAGCAGGACGCAAAGTTTGCCGAGGGCGCGCCTGGCCAGACCTCTGAGGCGGAGACGGACCACGAGCAGAAGGAGAAGCCTAGTGCGCGCACCGACACTGCTCCTACCGACCTCGGCGAGGCCCGTGAGCAAGCCACTGTGAGTATTTCGCTTGGTTTATTGCATCAATGTAGGCTAATAGACATTTCCTAGTCGAAGGAGGCTCCCAAGGAGGCCTCCGAGTCGAAGGAGTAGATATAGACACACCATGGACATTGTGCATGTACCCTGCTGTCTACCAAAATGGACATATGGACATTGGATTGTGCTTGTTCAATAGCCCGCTTTGGGCCACCGACGTGTTTGGGATGAAACCGACGATAGAAGCTGCGTTGTCGAAGAATGGTATACAACCGCAAGCGTAGTGCAAAACTGACAACGTAGTAGCAGCGGAATCAAGCCTAGGGATCGGTGGTGACCGCCTCGGCGGGCGCATCCACCACCAAGTATTTATCAAACCAGCCCACCACTTGCTTCACCGCGTCGTCCCTCGCCTTCTTCTGCTTCTCGTCCGCCAAGTTCGCGCGCGTCGTCCACCCATGCTGCACGCCCTCATACACGACCACCTCCACGTCCTTCAACCCCCGCCCCTTCAAGATCCTCCCCGTCTCCTCCGCCTTCGCCCTGTTAAAGTCCGGGTCGCCCGCCGCGACCGCCAAGCTGAACGGCCGCTCGACGCCATCCAGCTCCGCGGGGAAGCGCACGAGCGACGGGTGCGCGGCGACGCTCGCGTCGAACCGCGCGTTCTGCGAGATCGCGAAGCGCCCGCCCCAGCAGAACCCGACGAACCCGAGCTTCGCGCCCGGCCCGTGCGCGGTGCGCAGCGCGGCGGCCACGGCGGCGATCGTGGAGACTTGGCTCGGGAGGTTGCGCAGGACGAAGGGGACGAGGACGAGCAGCGCGGCGGGCGCGGCGACGAACCGCCTGAAGAGCGTCGTGTGCGGGTTCGAGGGGTCGTGCGCGTTCAGGCTCCACGTTGGGATCTGCCAACCTGCGCGTGCGAGGTCGTCAGGGCGCGTCTCTCTCGAGCGTGAAGGGGAGGGGGGGAGGGACGTACCGTTGAAGAAGTCGGGGATGACGACGCGGAAACCGTGCGCGGCGTACTCGTCCGCGAGGAGGCGCGTGTTCACAAACTTCCACCCGAAGATGTCCGCGCCGACGAGGATGACGCGCTTGGCGTCCTCTGGCCCGACGACGTACGCATCGACACCGCCGACCTTGGTCTCGGTGCCCGTGGGCGTGCCGTTGTGCAGCGTTCCGGTGACGCACTCGGGGCAGGACATCGCGAGGCTGCGCTACTAACAACGCCAGGAGTGGTGAATGTCGTGCTGTATTTTTGTGCGCCTGCACATACCGTACACTTGCTGGGTGACTGGGAATTGAACCTGTTGTGCACTGAGCGACTCCCGATAGGAGCTGGTGAGCAACGAGTGCATGGGAGCCGAAGTGCGCGCGGGCTTTATAGCTGGCTCGTGATCCAATTCGGTCGACAGCGCATGCGTCGTACGCCACTGCAGCGCGATTCGTGCAGCGAGCAGCGAGCAGACTTCGGCTCCGACGCATGATGTGCTTCTCCGAGGAACTACACCATCGTACGTACACTAGGTACTCACGCGGGTAGTAGGAGGCCCGCGACGCGCGTCGGTTCGGCTCTGGCGAACGTCGAACGAATCCAACGCGCCTTCCACCAGTTGCGCGCGGAAGCAGTGGGACCGGATGCTAGATCGGATATCGCCCAATCGTGCCGGCGCTCGCACTACACAGTACTAACAGCGCGGCACACGGGCACACGGGCGTACGATTCGCATTCGTCGTGCATGAATCCAATTTCGCGTTTGCTGTATGGGGAATGGTATGTATAGGAAGCGAACCCGTCCCATGAAATCGAAGCGCAGTCCATGCGACTCATCGCAACATCCACTACTAGCAATTCCGCAGCCACATTGGCCGTCCGGATATCCAGGATTACATCCTATCAGAGCGACCTCCCTGCGCGTGTACTAATTCATGTACGGTTCACTCTGCCTTCGGCCTATGCTCGACACCTGGAGCCAGACCCGCTTTGACGGCCGCAACGTAGTGCTGGCGCTTCTCGAGGTCTTTCGATTATATCAACTTGGGAGCTCAGAACAGAAATGCGAAGTCGGGCGTACCGTGCGCCCACATCGCTGCACCAATACGGTTCGACACCGAGAAGATGAGCCCGATGATGGGGAGGCGTTCCACGAGGGCGGCAGTAAAGCCAAATGCTAACGAGGTGGTGAGCCACCTGGGTCCTGAATGCGATTAGCAGGAGACGTACATCGGTAATCCCACTTGCGCTCTTCGATGAACGTCGAGACCTGCTCGGTGGACATGTTCTTCACTTTGAAGTACTGCACAAGAGGTGTATGAGTGCACAACGCTTCTGCTGGGCCACCAAACCGACCACTTACAGGTTGGTGCAGGTACCGCGCGGTGCCCAGAGATTTGAACCATGCTGCAAGGACTATGCCCGCCAACGGGATGAAGTCAAGCGGGATCATAATCACTATTCGTGGATGCCGTGAGTGCTCTATCCACATGGCTCAAACGTGCATAATTCGGGCCATGGACGCCTACCTTTGGCAACGATGCCGCCCACAGGTCCGCTCAGCAACTTACCGAGCCCCCAGCTCGTGTGTTTGATCTGGGGTGGGTTGTCCCATTCTTCGACGTACGGGCACCACCAGTCTGCGCCCTTGCCTCGGGAAATAATTGTCTGGTCGTACGCGCGCTCGCGTGCAATGCGGATATTACGCGAGAGGAAGAAGTAGATGATGGTAGAGACCTGGCTGGCGAGGAAGACGGTGGTGGCATCTGTGTAGAAGGAGTCAGGGGAATAGTAAAATCCCAACGACATTGGAATCGTACAAGTTGGTAAGTCGAAGGGCATGGTTATACCGAAAAGCGCATCACGCGAGAGACCGGTGACACTGGGGGATCTAGTGCGGGAGACAGGTATGAGCGCTGAGCCTGAGACAAAGACGAGTACATATTGAATATCCACTTAATGAGGAATATCTCCACAAACTTCCTCTGGATCTTAAACGACCCAACCGCCTAGTAAACCACGTTGTACCATCAGTATGTACGTCCCTTTCGCGCCAGTGGGAGTGCTCACCCAGACAAGGGCCACCGAGGCTCCTCTCACGAAGCCGTGCTTGCACTTCTTCCACGCGGGCACATATAGGGTCTTGTCGGTGACCAACCTGTAAAAGCCCACTACAACATAAGAAGGGGGGAACTGCAGTCTCGAGGTCGCGTGGTGCAGGCTCTTGGGAACGTCTTCGGTGTACGGTGTAGGCGCGTCTCCGCCGTAGGCGCCTGGAACAGCGGCCTTCTCCCCAGCTGCAGCAGGTACGGCCGACATTACGCAGGTTTAGTCACGGGTGTGTGGCTTCGTGGAGTACAAGTTGTTTGAGCACGCGGAGTTTATGTAGGTGACGGTAAATGTCGAGCTGTGTTCTGCCGTGGCAGGCGTTGCATAGCTTGGGGACTACGCTCGGACCGAAGCGTCATCGGATTCGTCGACGTCGCGGGATCCGCGGAGCGCCCGTCTCGTCGTAGATGTATACCTACTAGGCGTCGATGCACGCGTTCGTTACTGAAGCCCGGTCAAAAGTCACGCTGCGTCAGTCTGCGCAGATATGCGCAAATCTGCGAAACGGTGTAAAATGTACAATACACATGCGTGGATATGCGCTGTTATGCGCTGGTCTGTGGGCGTCTATTTATGACGTTTCTTCCATGTTACTCTGACTTGCTTCGACGTTCAAACATGTCCTCTTCACGCACGTCTCGACCGTTTCGTCTGCGCGCGCGCGCGAAATGCGTCCAAAGTCTGCTCCGTCGACACATCGAGGTCGCGCACGTTCG